CTTTTTGTAAAGGGATCGATCCCAAACTCACTGGAATACAAGGGTCGATCTTTTTTTAAAGGGGAACGATCCTTTGGTCAAAGGGATCAATCCTTTTGCTAGGGGATCAATCCTTTAAGCAAAAAATGTTTGGAAACTTAACTTTAAATTGCAAAAACGATCGAGTATGTTTTTTAAAAGGTTCGACTAAATTGGAAAACATTTAAAACATATTTTTCAAGTTAATTAGGACTTAGAAATATTTTTGATAAATTTTTGACAAATTCAATTAAGTCCAAAATCAATTTTACAATTTATTGTTATATCAAAATCTTAATTCAATAATCTCTCCCTTTTTGATATAACAAAACTCTATGAAAATTTGTTTTTGAAAAATGCTCCCCTTTGAAAAATAATTAAACAATTTAAGAATTTTGTAAAAAAACATTTAAGCTCCAATTTTAATATTGAAAAATCATTTTTTATTTTATACTTACTTTGCTTCCCAAGGTCAGCAAGAATCAAATTGAATCAACCTACCAACATCAAAGTTTTGTTTTGCGTTTAATTTGTAAACACACTTGTGTGCTTCATTGTTTATTTTGCTCAAGTGTGATTTGGGTGAGAGCTTAATTCGTGCGAACACATTTACCTTGTGAGGTTTTCTCTTTGTTTGCTTTATTTGTAATTCCTCTTGTGGAAAGAGTGTAAACAAAGTTTTGGGGTGTAAACAAAGTTTTGGGGTATAAACACTGTGGGTTGTTGTAAGGTTACACCTTGTCCTCAAAATATAGTGGATTTGAGAAATCCTTAGTGTGGATGTTAAGGTAATGGATGTAAACTTGGTTTAGAAGTCGAACCACTCTAAATCATTGTGCAAAAAGTTCTATTTTTCGATTTGTTTCCATCAAACTTTTTAAAAGGTCAATTCACTACCCTCTTAGCATATTTCGGTTGTTCGTAAGAGCTAACACATATCTTCTAAACTGTTACAATATCTTGATTTGATCGTCGATAAATCCACGTGGTCTGCAATTCATCATCTAATTGTCAAATTTATTTATTCGACCAACCTGCAAATAATCATCATCACTAAAAGTAAATATATCGATCACCATGTAAGGTTAAAAAAAATTATCTCTCTCAACTATTATTCATCATCGTCTACATACCTTCTATTCTCTATTTCTCTTCTACCGAGTAATTCTTCGTCCAAATCAAGTGGAATGAATCATCAAAATCTGTCGCAATCTAACTTTTTCTATCAACAATTATATAATATCTTTGTCATTTTTCAACTATATTGAATGAGATTTATACTTTTACCGAGATGTGTCTTTAAATAAAATTATTCATTTATTTTTATTTATATCACTAATTTTTATATTTTAAAAAAATTAAATGAATAATTTATATATATTTAAGATTACTTTTTTCAATAACAATAAATATTTATATTTTAAACTAAATTATTTAAAAATACTTTTCCAAATCATTTTTCTATTATATTTTTTTATAGAATTTTATTATATATTTAAAATATAAAGTTAAACTAAACCTAAAAATAAATCATAAGTGCTTATGAAACTGAATTGACCAAACCCAATATGAACCCAGTTTAATTATGGGTAAACTATGACAATAGTCCATTTTGTTTTCAGTCTAATCGACTTTGGTCACCGATTTTTTAATTAAGTCTGTTTGGTTCCTAACGTTATCGATCCGTCCAGTTCAAGTCCCTCAATCTTTAACTTCCGTTAACCCATTAACGAAAGTCTGAGTTGGATATTAAAAAATAATAAAATAAAATAAAAACCATGTGTCTTCAAACTTTGACTTTCTTCTTCTTCTTTCCCCACAACCCATTCTCATGAACGCCCTTCATCATCATCTTCTTCTTTTATTCTTCCACCCATTCTCATCTATACTCTTGAGTTGTAGTGACCAATATCAAATCTTGAAAACTTAAAATACCAATAAGGGAACTAAAAACTAGAAAGTGTTTCTCAAGCAAAGAAGTAAAAGACACCCCCAGTAACATACTAAGGTATATATCATAAAATCTACTTCAAATGATTACGGCAATAAAACTACTGACTTTGAATCAGTATTTGATAGGAGCAATGACTTCCAACTGTGCACCAAGCTTCTCCTCTGCAACCTTCTCGGCCTTAACCCTAAGTTTAGTAAGTTGCTTCCTTCTCTCGTATGCGACTTGAGCTCTTTCCTTCCTCTTCTTCTCGAGCTCCTTAATAGTGTCATAGTGGTTCCATCCGACCTCAGATGCTCAACAAGCAGTACTTGTGTCCTTTCTGAAGCCTCAAAACCTTGAGAGCATCAAGAATAACCATCCTCTTCGTCTTATCGTAAGGAGCTGGAACCCCCTCGTACACCTTCAATCGAGCAAGAGCTGCTGCTCCACACTTGGTCTTTTGAGGAATCATCCCACGAATGGTACGCCAGAGGATCTTAGAAGGAGCACGGAAATGGATGGGACCATGAGAGGGCTTAGTGTTCATGTGCTTCCTCAAGAACCTCATGTACTTTATCTTCTGCCTGACCAGACCACCAAACATGCAAATCTCGTTGCATCTAACGACGACCACTTTCTGGCCGTTCAACAACTCCTTGACCAAAATGGAAGCCAGCCTTCCCAGCATGTGGTGCGTTGCATCCACCACCACCCTCTTGGCGCAAATCCCTGACCCGGAAACTATATTCTCTTCTTGTGTTTTGCCTCCTTTGCTTCGATCAGCTTAGGCCGCGTGCTGGTGCTTGCTGCCACTGCGATTGCGACAGACAGTAAAGGAGTTAATGGAAGGAAAAATGAGGAAACAAGTGAGCAAACGAGAAGAAGAAGTGTTGATGAACACGTGGATGCAGTGATTTTTTTTTTAACCGTGATGTAATATTTCTATTAATGGATTAACGGACATTAACGGCCAAGAGATTTAAACAGGATGAACTGATAACGTTACGGATCAAGCGCACTTAATTTAAAAATCGGTGACGAAAGTTAATCAGAACAAAAATAAAGGGGACTATTAGCATAGTTTACCCTTTAATTATTTAAATTTCTAAGAACTTGATTTCAACTTTAAACCAGTAATTAAACATTTATTAATTGGTTTAATTAGCCTCCACTAGGCAAATTGCAAACATTTTATAAATAAGCAAGTATTTTAAATTAATTATATTATAAAGATATAAAATCATCAGAATTAAAATACTTAAGATAAGTGTTTTGTTTTGAATCTTATAGTGCATAAATTCTATTTGAATTTATTTTTATTTTAAATTTAATGTTTGATTCATTAATGAAATTAATAAAAAAACGATTTTTTTATAATTACAACTCACAAATTAAAAAAAAAATTGGTGTATCAAGAATAAATTCAATATATGTGAGTGAGATAAAATAATATTTTGGTATATTAATTTTGAGAGTTGAATTTGACATTGATAAAAGTTATATATGACTTCAAAAAGTCAGAAGTTAGGATCCACTTTAATTTCTTGCACCCAATAATTCAAAAGAAAATATTATTTTGCCAATAATTTTGGACCAGAAAAAAATTAATTTTGAAAATATGGTTTGACTAATTCAAAGGAACTTTCTTTGAATTTTTAATGCTTTATTTTCAACGAATTTAATACTTTTGATTAAGTTTTAAGATTTTATTTTATTCTTTTTAATTTTTTTTGATTAATTTGGAGTAAGTAAAAAACAGTATTTATTCTAAAATAATTCTCAAACCCTTTAACATTAAAAGTTCACATTCATGACGTTCATGGTGCTTAAACTCGGATCTCAAGGAATGATAATCATTCTTTTATCACGAAGACCACTAAATTCGTACATTATAGGCTATTCATAATTCAATAATTATAAAAAATTTAATGTTATAATTAATATAAAACTTTAGTATTTTTAATGACTACTTTTACAATAATTATAGGCTATTCATAATTCAATAATTAAAAATCCTAGTCGTTTTCTTTCTCCTCTCTTTTCTCTTTTTTTTCTTTTACGATTTGTGTCAATTTTATTGATCAATCTAATTTTTTATTCTTTAATTTTATTTAACTGGAGGCGGCACCTATGTTAATGCTAGTTGTCGCCCGTCGGTTATCTTTTTTTCTTTGTTTTTTTAGTTTTTTAATAAGAATAATTATGTCTTTGTGACATGTTATCTACCTTTATGACACGTTTATCTCCACCTTTATGGCATGTTTTTCTCTGCCTTTTAATAGCTTACGGTTTTTTGTCGTTGTTTTTGTTTATTTTTTTTTCTCAAGATTGGATTTGACATTGTCACGACTGATCAAGATGACGCTTATTTGTTATCATAATGATCTTATCTGATTTGGACTATCGGATTGATTTGGATATGCGTTTTGCGTTCGTTGATAGTTTTCTCACGACACTTGACTCTAATTTGCGATTTGTCGGGGTCTTTCAGTAGTTCCATCTCCTTTTGTGATTCATTTATCAATACATTCAGACTTGTTTGTATCTTTATTTTATTCGAGTTTTTTTGTTAGGCTTTTTAACATTTTCCTTCTTTAGCCCTTATGTGATCTAGGTGGATAGTTTTTGTCTAAATAGTAATAAGAAAATGTCATAATTATATTTTAGATTTACGGTTATGCTTGTAAATTTTTATTGTAATTTTAGATATTTTCAATTTTTTATAAAACTATCGACTTTCTATAAAAAATACTACTTGTATAAAAAAATGATAAACTTTTATGGTTATTTTATAATAGTTTATTAAAGTTAATAATTATTTTATAGTATCAATAATCAGTTGGTCTAGTATGATGAGACACTTAATCATTTAAGCAATGTCATAAATTCAAATCTTGGCATTTACGAATAGAGTAAATTGAGTTAGGAATGTCACTCTTGTCTTTGTAGTATTCGATCCTAATTAGTCGCTTAATAAATCATATATGATAATTATAAAAAATAATTATTTATAATAATTTAATAAATATAATGTTAGCAAATTCAAGTTATGGATTGTAATCATGACATGGTCATATCATTCATATTAGCGAGAAGCAAACGCGCAGCAGCAAGTCAAAGTCCGACCAAACGCCCCGCGGCCCCAATACCGCATCCCAAAATTTGACTTTCAAACGCCACCAATTTGCAGTCTATAAATCTCAACTGGCCCCCCGCCATTATTCGAAAAATTAAATATCTCAATATTTTTTTCTCCGATATGAGGAAACATTTCCTAACAATTCTTCTGACGGCGTTTATTGCCGCCGAAGCAGCCGCGGTGAACGCTCAAAACTGCGGTTGCGAACAAGGTCTATGCTGTAGCCGGTGGGGGTTTTGCGGCACCGGCGACGATTACTGCGGCACGGGGTGCCAACAGGGGCCTTGTAATCCACCGCCGGCCTTGAACAATGTTTCGGTGGCGGATATCGTTACGCCGCGGTTCTTTAGTGGGATCTTGGATGTCGCGGAAGCTAGTTGTGAAGGGAAGAATTTTTATTCGAGATCGGCATTTCTCGAAGCTCTCGGTCCTTATCCTCAGTTCGGGAGAATCGGATCCGTCGACGATTCTAGGCGCGAAATCGCGGCTTTCTTCGGCCATGTAACCCACGAGACTGGACGTAAGATCCCTCCCCATGCTTTTTCTCATAAATCTTTACTTTGGAGAATATGTTCTGCTTTCATTTATATACAGTATCAATTAAATTAGTAATATAATCACCAAGGGATTTATAAATTTTATATTAGAGATGTAAATTTAAGAAATTATATTAAAAATTTAGAGAGTACGAAATTATAAAATTAGAGTATAAAATTAGATTATAATAAAAAATATTTAAATTATACGAGAATTTAAATTTTTTAGCGGTGCAATTAAGGATGGTAATCTAACGTGGATTTGACAGTTTCGACCAAACCCGACTTGATAGGGTATTTTTTATATAAAAAAATCAGTTTGAATTGAGGGTTGTAAAAGGTAAAACCAGGTCAGACTTCAGATTTGGGGAGAAAAATCTTAACTCGACTCAGGATAATAATATAATTTTCTTCTATACATTTAAAGATAATTACTATAATACTCCTCTCTATATATTTTTTCAATTAATTCTCTATTATAAAGAATAAAAATGATAATTTATATATATTTGTGTTGAATCGGATTAGATGTAGATTTTTATTTTAAAATTCGGATCAAGTTTAGGATCGAGTGAGACCTCTTTAAATTCGAGTCGGATCAAATTTGGATGGAAGAAGTATGTTTCTCAAATCGATTCGGATTAAACCGACTAGATCTAAGATGAAATGATAAAAAATAAAATAAAATAAAATAAAATTTTAAATTTTAAATCTTGAATTTATATTTTTACGAATTTCAGTTTTTTTTAATACTCTTTGTTTTCTAATACAGATTTTTGCTACATAGAAGAGATAAACGGAGCCACAAGGGACTACTGTGATGAAACCAACACACAATATCCATGCAACCCTAGCAAAGGCTACTATGGCCGAGGACCAATCCAACTATCCTGGAATTTCAACTACGGACCAGCAGGGGACAACATCGGGTTCGACGGACTAAACGCACCCGAAACCATCGCCACCGACCCGGTTATCTCCTTCAAGACTGCCGTCTGGTACTGGGTGAACTTCGTTCAACCGGTCCTAAACCAAGGGTTCGGGGCAACTATTCGTGCCATTAACGGAGCTCTCGAGTGCGATGGTGGAAACCCCAGTACCGTTCAACGAAGAATCGAGTATTATACCGATTACTGTAACCAGCTCGGCGTCGATCCTGGGCCTAATCTAACCTGTTAGATTTCAACTTTTTTTTAAATACATTTCACTTTTGATTATGTTTAATTAAGAAGATGTAACCGTATATTATTGAATTGCCTGCTGCAGAAATAACTTTTGACTCGCATGTTTTACTTTGGTCAATCCTTTTTAAAAATTGCAGTTCAATAATCCAGATGATTTGATTTTTGGTATATATGCATGCATGGTCTAATCTTTATGCAACTTACGAGAAAGATTCTTTTATTTTAGTATTTTATTTAGGGTGCTTGGTTCACGGAATGTAAGATTATCAGTGAGAATAAAAGATTAACAGGGAATAGGATTACTGAGAATGTTGTATTTTGTGTTTGGTTGGTTTAGGAGGAATGTAAAATTACCGTGTTTGGTTAAAGGAATAAAAGATTATTTTAATGTATATTTGACCAAATTGTCTTTATTATATATACTTTTTAACAAGTTGAATTCTAGTATAATATTACTATAAGATATTTATATATTTTCTTTAAAAATTTTAAATTTATATACAAAATTGAAAATATAAAAAGGTGTAATAAAAGGGTAAAATTTTATTTTAACCCCTTAACTTCATATAAAATTTTAATTATAGATATTTTTTTGTAAATCTAAAATAGTTTAAGGATAAATTTGTAATTTAACCTTCGTAGAATTTTTATTATTCAATGACAGAAGAATGATATTTTTGAAAAAAAAAGTTAAGGGCATTTTAGTCCAAAATGCCGGTAATCCAACAATACCTAAGGGAATAGGGTAAAGACATTCCCGGTAATATACCCAAAAAATCCACTGTTGGTAATAAAACATTATCGGGAATGAGATTACCAGCCAACCAAACGGGAGAATGTGGATTTCATTCCCCCGGTAATCCCACATTCCCTGAACCAAACACACCCTTACAGTAATAATATTTAAAATTTTAATTTTATTTAAGTGAATTAATTGGAATTAATTGTATCACACCTTCTCAAACAATGGACTTCATTCTAAATTAATCCATAACTTTTATTTATTTCAATTTCATCCTTAAACTATGACTTGCATTCTAAATTGGACCCTAATCTTTTGAACATTTTACATTTATTCTCAAATTATGACTCTCGTTTTAAATAGTTCCTAAACTTTTGAACATTCCAATAATTTCCCCCAAAATCATTGAAGTTTAGGGATGAAATTAGAAAATTCAAAAGTTTAGAGATCAAGTTAGAATGAGTGTAGTAATTTAAGGATGAAAATAAAATATTTAAAATTTTAGAGATTAACTTAAAATAAAGTTTATAGTTTGAAGACGTGTAATGTGATTAACTCAATCATGTTATATATAGGTGATCATGAATGGATCTTTTAATTTATTGTATTCAAGATTGAAGACTCATTTGAAGTTTGGGTTCAGAGAATGAATATGGTCTAAAATATTGATCGAGTTGGAGTTTTAACATTTAAAGTTTGTGAGATCATTCTCTTTTCGTTTAACCTTTTTTAGGCAAAATTTACTAAAACTCAGGTGAGTATAAGGAAATGAATAAACTTCCAATTGTACTCTATAAAATCTTAACTAGGGATGGGCATGAGACCTGAACTCGATGGGTTTCGACCCGACCCGATCCGACCCGACCGAGTCAGTTTTTTTAAATCAGGTTCGGGTCGGATCGGTTGGGTTTTTTAAATGTGATGTTCAGGTCGGGTCTGGTTCGGGTTTAGGGTAAAAAATATCCGATCCGAAATTTTTTTATCTTTTATATTTAGGAATAATTATAATAATATCCCTCTATATATTATTTTTTTTCAATTAAGTCACTGTTTTTATTGAATAAAAATAATATTTTATCATTATTTTGGGTCGGATTTTTAAGTTATATATCGGATCAGGTTCGGGTCGAGTGAAATCTTGTTTAGGTCAAGTCTGATCTCGGGTGGAGGATTCTTTGTTCTTGGGTCGGGTGGACTAAAAACCCGACCCAACCCTACCATGCACATCCTAATCTTAACCCATTCCCGTCATTCTTCTACATAAAAGAAAAAGAATCTCAATATTCTTTTGTTTAATATGAGGAAACATTTCCAACCATTCTTCTGGCAGCAATTATTGCCGCCGGAGCAACGGCACCGGACGCTTGAAACTGCAGTTGCGAACAAGCTTAATGTTGTAGTTGGTGGGGGCAATGATTTCCGCAGCACAAGATACCAGAAGGGTCCTTGTAATCCACTGCCGATATCGGTGGTCGATATTGTTACGCCACAATTCTTTAATGCGATTATGAATGTTGTGGAAGCCGGTTGTGAAGGGAAGAATTTTTATTCAAGATCAGCATTTCTTGAAGCTCTCTCTCCTTACCCTGGGTTCGGGAGAATTGGATCAATTGATGATTATCAGCGTGAAATTGAAGCTTTCTTCAGCCTTGTCACGCAAGAAACTGGACTTAAGATCCCTCACTTTTTCCCCATAAATGTATACTTTGGAGATCGACTATTGCATGCATTTATATACCAAATCAATTACAGTACGAGTATAATCGGGTTGGGTCAAGTTGAGCTCAAGTACTACATTGGCTACTGTAACCAGCTCGGTGTGGATCCCGAGCCTAATCTAACCTGCTAGATTTCATTTTAATAATACAGATGATTTGGTTTCTGGTTTATCATACATGGTCTAGGTTTTATGCATGGTTTTAGACAGATGATAACCATACACTTGTGTCCAAATATATACGAATATGAAAAATGAAAAGTCGGAACAACATATCCCTCAGTTGCTTAAGCATGTATGTCCACAACAATTCTAGCTGGCTCATGGCTCACATAGTTGTTTTTACCTACATGCATAGCGCACAAATGATTGCAGATGACAACAATTCCTATTGGCACAAGCAAACTATCAACACAAGTCACTGTCAAAATATATAGGCATGCATCTATGTATAAACTTTTCCTTAACAATTGAATCTTTAAGCATGCAGAAATTGACGCCAGACAGAATAGTGATTATCCTGTAGGCTAGCTCCGACAGACGATTCACAAGAGAAAATTCGCCCAAAAACCAGAGAAAAAAAAGTCTCTAGGGTTTAATAAAATATTATAAAATCAATAACCATCTCAAAAGCAGTCCACAAGCCGGACTGTTATAGCAAAAAAATCGTCTTTATTCGAATTTTGCCAAAAATAGCAAAAATCGTCTTTATTCGAATTTTGCCAAAAATAGCAAAATCCCGAAAATCACTCTAAATTGAAATTCGAAATAAAATAAGCAATCTCCCAAAAATCCGGTCTAAATCGGATTTAAATTGACTTCCTAATTAACAATCGAAATATTACCATAAATAGTAAAAAATAACTAAATCTAGTGATTCGGAGGGGAAAACGGCAGAATTTGAGGTTGAAAAAAAGGCCACATGGATCCATGTGGAGAGCGTGCGCGTCGAAAAGAGCTTTCCGGATTGGGGTCTTATGCGCGATTCTGACACCTGTAGCCAAAGTTATGGCCAAAAGACTGAAACATACTCAAAACGACCCCAATGAGGAACATGTCACAATCAATTCCCGCCTTTGCGCTGATCTGCCAACTCATGGTATCTCAGCGCCATCAACGTGCAATCTGACAGCTCAGCATCATCTGTCTCGGATCCCCCTGCATCAGTCGCCCCGGGTTGGAAAGAACTCGTCCTCGAGTTCAGAGTAGTGTCATCAGGATCCACAAAACAATGACTCAGGTGCTTCACATTAAAGACATCAGAAGTCTTCAAGTGACTGGGAAGTCGCAACCTGTAAGCATTATCATTGATCTTCTGCACGACCTCACAAGGTCCAATCTTCCAATCCTTAAGCTTATTATACTCACCAACAGGAAAACGATCACGAGTTAATACAGCCCAAACAAAATCACCAACATCAAAAAGTACCTGACGACGATGATTGTCGACCCGAGTCTTGTACTTGGTATTGCTCTCATGAATGGTCTGTTTCACCTGCTCATGGATACCCCGAAGATACTTTGCCATCTCATCTGCTTTAGGACTGAAACGTCCTATACGTGGAATAGGGGCTAAGTCCAACACCCCGGATGGGTTCTGACCATAGACAATCTCAAATGGGCTTAAACCTGTGGTTCTGTTTTTTGATCTGTTGTAGGCAAATTCTGCCTGAGGCAATGCCAAATCCCACTGCTTCGGCTTCGTTCCTGCCAAACACCTTAAAAGGTTTCCCAAACTTCGGTTCACCACCTCAGTCTGGCCATCCGTCTGGGGGTGGTAGGCGCTACTGAAATTCAACTGTGTTCCCAGTTTCCCCACAGGCTCTTCCAGAAATGACTGATGAACTTAGTATCACGATCTGAAGTGATGGATCGAGGAACACCATGTAAACGCACAATCTCCTTGAAATAGAGATGGGCAATCCGGTCAGCATCCATAGTCTTTCTGCAAGCTACAAAATGAGCCATCTTGGAAAACCTGTCAACCACAACAAAGATAGAATCAGAGGCCCTTTGGGTGCGGGGTAAGCCTAGTACAAAATCCATGCTGACATCGAACCAAGGAGCTTCAGGAACAGGTAAGGGAGTGTACAATCCCGCATTGGTGAGAACTCCCTTAGACCGCTGGCACACATAACAACGGTCCACATAATGGGCCACATCACTAGTCAACTTGGGCCAATAAAATTCAGAAGAGATAAGGGCCAATGTCTTATCTCGGCCAAAGTGTCCCTCATTATGGAGTTCACTTATAATTTGCTGCCTCAATGAACAATCTGGAATGCACAATTGTAATCCACGAAACAGATACCCATTATGCAAAACAAAATCATGACGGTGACCCTCAGTTACCTCCTGAAATATCCTTCCAAAGGAAGGATCAGCTGCATACATATCTGTGAACGTCTCAAATCCTGCAACTTTAGTACTCATGGTGGTGAGAAGTAAGGTACGACGGCTCAGGGCATCTGCGACGCGGTTCAAACTCCCTGCTTGGTGCCTCAGCGTAAAAGTGAATTCTTGCAAGTATGCTACCCACTTGGCATGACGTCTACTCAGCTTGTGTTGGCCATTGATGTACTTCAAGGCCTCATGATCGGTAAACAGAATAAACTCCTTCTGTACTAGGTAGTGACGCCAATGCTTCAGGGACTGAACTATGGCATAGAACTCCAGATCATAAGTGGAATAATTTTTCTTTGATCCCGATAGCTTCTCACTGAAAAAAGCAACCGGACGACCTGCCTGACTCAGAACACCACCAATGCCAACGCCAGATGCATCACAATTTACCTCGAACACTTTGTCAAAATCTGGAAGTGCCAAAACTGGAGCCTCGGTCATCTTCTGCTTGACCAGTTGAAAACTGGCCTCTGCCTCCTCAGACCACTGGAAATCACGCCCCTTGAGGCACTCTGTGATAGGGGCGATCAGAGTACTGAAATTTCTAATGAATCGACGGTAAAAAGACGCCAAGCCATGGAAACTTCGGACGTCATGTAAGGTTCTTGGTCTGGGCCACTCCAAGACTGCATCTATCTTTGACTGATCTGCATGAACACCATCAGTAGACACAACAAAACCAAGAAAAGTCACAGAAGTAGTGAAGAAAGAACACTTCTTTTGATTGACAAACAAGCACTTCGTTTTCAGCATCTCAAAAACAGCACGGAGGTGATCGAAGTGTGAAGTCCATGTCGGACTATAAACGAGGATATCATCGAAGTAAACTACAACAAATTTCCCCATAAAAGGCCGCAAGACCTGATGCATAAATCTCATGAATGTACTGGGTGCATTGGATAACCCAAAAGGCATGACCATCCACTCATACAACCCTTGTGGCGTTTTAAACGCCGTCTTCCACTCATCTCCAGGCCTTATTCTGATTTGGTGGTAACCGCTCTTAAGGTCAATTTTTGAGAAGATCTTAGAACCAGATAGCTGATCCAACATATCATCTAGACGGGGAATTGGAAACCGGTACTTCACTGTAATTATGTTGATCGCTCGGCTGTCAACACACATACGCCAAGAACCATCTTTCTTTGGCACTAACAGAGCAGGGACTGCACATGGGCTCATACTCTCTCGGATATAGCCCCTCTCCAACAACTCTTCCACCTGTCGCTGCAACTCTTCGGCCTCCTTGGGACTGAGGCGATATGCTGGTCGATTTGGCAAACTTGACCCAGGAACAAGGTCAATTGATGCTGAATATCCCTCATAGGTGGTAGTCCAGGAGGAAGATCCTCTGGCATCAAGTTAGAGAATTCTGCTAGCAACCGCTGCACCTCTACTGGTAAATCTGTATCCACGTCTACTGCATTGTTCTCGCAAGGTAGCAAGGCATAGACCACGTCGCCATGCTCAATCTCATCTAAAAACCTGGACATAGAAAGCAGATTAGTATTATGGGTTACTGGGGTAGGAGTAAGTCCTTCCCGCCGGGGTGCCAACACAATCTTTTTTCCCTTGATGCTAAGGGAATATGTATTCTTCCGTCCATCATGAATGACACTGCGATCATACTGCCAAGGTCGACCCAACAATATATGACACGCATCCATAGACACAACATCACACCAGGCATTATCAAAATATTTTCTACCAATTGAAAAAGACACGAGGCATCGCCTATCAACTGTTACCTCACTGTCTTTATTTAGCCATGACAACTTGTATGGCTTAGGATGACAGTCCGTCTTCAACTGCAATTTCTGGACAACCTCCTCGGACACTACATTCTCACAACTGCCGCTGTCAATGATCATTTTGCAGACTTTATCTGCAACTGTGCAAGTCGTATGGAAAATATTGGTTCTCAACCAATCGTCCCCTGAATCGCCCTTGGGGGTAAGTAGACTCTTGCGAACGACCAGAGTCTCATGACCATCTCCATACAGCACATCATCAGTCTCATCATCGTCATACACGGGCTCGTCAATCTCCTCAGTCTCGTCTTCCACGTTTTCCACAATCAACAAATTTTTGCCCTTTTGACTAGCAGGCTTCCTGCAATCAGTCGCCCTATGCCCTTGTTCACCACAACGAAAACATCTAATAGTAGGGTTAGAATTACCCTGCGGTGGCTGCTAAGCAGGACGGGACTCTTGAGGGCGAACTGGTCGACTGTTGTGATCGCTCCTGATCACTGGTCTCCTGTTTTGCTGTTTTTCAACAGCAAGTGCACGCTGGTATGCTTCCGAAACACTCCACAATGAATGAAGGCTGAGGACATCTTGCAAGGGCTGGCGTAAACCCCCCAAATATCGCGCCACCATCTGCTCCTCCGTCTCAGATAAATCGTTCCGGGCGACCAATTGGTAAAACTCCTCCGTGTAATCATCGACTGATCGCGCGCCCTGCCTCAACGCATGAAGTCGCTGAAATAAGGTTTGCGTGTAGCCGAAGGGAAGGAAGTGGCCCTTCATCTTCTTTTTCATCTTCTCCCAATCAGTGATCTTGGCTTTGCCCTGTTTTTCTCGTGAACGTCGTAACTGTTCCCACCACGCAGATGCTCTGCCCTTGAGTTTGATGGCGATCAGTTTCACTTTCACACGATCGGGGACTTCCTTATATTCAAAAATACGCTCCACTTCATTAATCCAATCCACGAATCCCTCGGCCTG